AGGAGTCAGCCCTGCCTCCTCCCACTGCCCCACGGTCGGCCCTGGCCGGGAGCAGGGTGGGAGGGGATCTCACTTGTGTTGGGACGTTTCTTCCTCTCTATCCCGGCCGAGGGCTCTTTCCCAGGGGCTGCTGGCTTCGTGGCTCCAACAGCAGGAAGGCTTTCCTGGAGCTGAGAACCGTGGGATGCTGCCCTAGAACCGACGCCGGTGCTGTCGTGGCGTTCTCCACGGTGGGAAGGGCTGGGTGACCACAGGGCCACCACCTCCCGCAGCTCGCTGTCCCTGCTCTCAGCCTGCTCCTTGTAGTCCAGCATCTCCTCATCGCTGGAGTCCCTGAGCGGGGAGAGCACAGAGGGGTGAGCCACAGCCCTCCCCCACACCCACTGCAGCCCCCCAGGCTCGGGTGGGCTCCCAGCACCCCTCTGCTCACATCTCCTCGTCCACAGAGTCCGAGTAGTTCAGGGTGGCCATGCAGATGGAGCAGGTGTTTTTCAGGGCTCTGGAACAATCCCTGCAGTACAACCCTGAGGAAAACAGGACCATCAGAGGGGAAAGGGCATGTTCTGGGGAGGGGGTCCTCGAGCTAGAGGGGCTCCTACCTCTGCAGCTGGGCGTGATGCAGGCGTTGAAACCCGGCTGCTCCACCGTCCCACAGGCCAGGCAGTGTTTCTGCTCGATGCCAAAGAAGCGAGAGAGGCGGGCAAGGGCAGGGAACCTGCGGGCACAGGGTGATGCTCCATGGGGCAATGCCATCCTTGCCATGGACCCCCAAGGATGCTGCTGCCCTTTTCCATCCCTTGTGAGAGCTTACCTGGAGATGAGGAGGAGGAAGAGCTTGCTTTTCCTACCATCGGTTGTGCTCCCTGAGCGCAGGGCAAGTGCCATCCACTCCCGCCGTGCCAGGATGACGTTGTGGAGGAAGACCACACGCTCCTGGCATGGAGGGGATGGGGTGAGGGCAGGTGGCTGCTTGAGGGGGTGGAGAGTGGGACATGCATACACGGGGGGGGCTTCTCACCTGCTCACGGGAGGGGTAGTAGGCGGCACACACCGCCTGGCGCAGGCGTGCCATGTAGGAGCCAAAGATGGTGATGAAAAGCCAGAGACCGTAGAGGATTCCTGGTGGGAAGAAGACGAGTCACATAAGGCCAGTCCCCCTTACTCCTCCCCACCCACCTGGGTCGCTGAGGGTGCAGCCCCCCCTCGGTCTGCGCACCGATGGTGATGTAGGTGCTGTGGTCGGGCTCCATAGGCTCGATGAGGCAGACCTGGGACAGCACCGAGACCTTGCCCTCCTGCAGCGCGTTGAAGGCAGACACCAGGTCCTGGAAGATCTCGCTGGTGTAGCCCGTCCCATTGACGCTGATGGCCATCGTCGATGGCGCTGCGGGGCGAGAGCGGCTCAGCCCTGGGGTCACCCCAAAGCCCCAGCCCCCGAGGGTGCTGCTCCGGTGCGGTGGGTGCTGCTCACCCCTGGCAATGATCTCCCCGCTCAGCTGGTGCCGGAACAGGTCAAGCAACCAGAAGATGCTGTAGTCGGCCAGGATGATGCTGAAGCCCAGCAGCACGTGGCGCAGCAGCCCCATCAGCTGAATCCCGTACTGCAGTCTCTCGTTCTTCGACAGCCACAGCGCGGCTGGATGGCCACGAGAGCACCGTGAGGCAGAGCCAGGAAACCCCAACTCCCCTCCCTGCGCTCAGGGTTGGGCTGGGGGACACCCCCTGGGGTGGGGCTGGGCTGGGGGACACACCACCCAGGGGTGGGGCTGACCTGGGGGGATGTAGCGGCCCCTCTCCCGCGCCGTCAGGGGCAGCACGGTGGGTCTGCCCTGCTCCGCCCTCCGCAGGTCCAGCTCCACGAAGCGCCGCGTGATGTAAACGTTGTCGAAGGTGTCGTCCCACAGGTAGCGGCGCCGGTACCACATCGCGCTGGGGACACGGCGGGCAAGCTGAGCACCGGCGGCACACAGCGGGTGCCCACCCCCAGAGCAGGACCCCGGCCCACTCACTGGAAGCTCAGGTAGATGATGGCCAGGAAGGAGATGTAGGAGAAGACCTCCAGGCCGTGGTGGTAGGGCTCCAGGTGCTGCTGCACGGCCTCCATTATGTCCAGGGACACCTGGCCCAGGCTCTTGCTGGCGTTGAGGCTGACGTTGAAGCGGTGCACGATTGAGATGTTGAACTCAAACTCCTGGCGGACGTGGTTCAGGGCGTCCGTGATGGCTGCAGAGGTGACAGCAGGCCATGCTGGGAGGGGGAGGGGAACAAGAGCCAAGAGGGGCCCCTGACCCCCCACGGCACCAGGATACTCACGGGTTGCGATGTTTGCCCGGACGAAGCTCTGGATGTACTTTGGGACAATGCAGAAGAAGGCGCCAACTGCAGAGAGGGGGGATCTCTGTTAGGGTGGGACCCTCATGCTGGACACGGGTCCACTCCACCACCCCTGAAACCCCCCCTGCTGCAGAGGGACAGGAACTCACCAACATCAGCCAGGTTGCAGAGCCACTTGAAGCCGAGGATGATGTAGCAGATGAAGAAGAGGAGGGGGAGGGCGCGCTCGCAGTCGTCCTTGGCCTTATCCATCCAGCGAATGCAGCTGCTGTAGGGTGACCCCAGCTCCTTGTTGCACATGTCACCGACCTTTGACAGCCACAACCAGACGCTGCGCAGGCTGCGGGCTGGGGGCAGGCAGTGGGTGTTGGAGAAAGAAGTGGACTGAAAGCAGGGTGGGGGGTGCTAGAGCTGAGCAGACCCTTGGGGACCTTGGGGACCCCGCTCACCGACGTGTCTGGTGGAGCCGGTGATGGAGCGGACGAACTTGCGGACTCGGTCGCCCACCACCTTGGCGTTCTGGCCGATGTCCTTGATCTTGTTCTGCAGGTCTGCAGAGAGGGGGGGACCCCCGAACACACCCCGAGGGGTGAGAGTAGCCTGGGGCTGGCTGGGGCTCCCCCAGGAAGGGCCCCTGCAGTCCCCCCCACCTCCCCCCAGCCCCCTGCTCACTCAGCAGTGGCTCCTTGGCGCGTTCCAGCCGCTCGGCCGTCTGGTTTTGGGCCAGTTCGGCCCCGCACGACAGCGCCTTGGCGAGCTGGGAGATGTTGTTCAGGACATTGGTGCCAGGGCCCTGCACCGTCATGCACAGCGCCAGCATCACGATCAGCATCTTCCCCTCCCCTGCAGAGACAGGGAAATCCTGGGGCTCAGCTGGGAGCTCACACCCCCAGCACCCCCCCGGCTCCCCGACCCACGGCTGCTCACTGGTGAAGAAGTGGGGCAGCGCCAGCAGCACGATCATCCGCGTCTTCCTGGAGAAGGCCATGCCCAGCCCTAGCCCTGCTCCCAGGAGGATGGTGATGCACAGGCAGTACCAGACGTCGTGGCCCTGCACCAGCAGCACCAGCAACCCATAAATGCTGGCCAGAGCCAGGCCCAGCACGAGGCCACCGACGCTGCGGGCAAACTCCAGTGCCGCACTCGGCTCCTCTGGATGGCGCTTGGCCCTGGGGCGCGGTGCCGGGTTCTTGCCCCGGCCCCTCTGCCCCCGCAGGGCTTTGCACAACCCCGAGACCAGCCCCATACTGAGGCTCCTGCTGCTCCCACCAGCTCCCTCTCCGTGGGATAAGAGCAGGCAGAATGAGCAGTTTCCAGAGAACCGTTGTCGGTTCCCACGTTACCACCTTTCCGTTGGAACGCTCGAACGCTGTCGGTTCCCGCATCACAACGGTGCTGCTCCAGCACGGTGGGTGCTGCTCACCCTGGTGTAGGGATTCCAAACAGAGAGATTCTATTTAACATGTGCCAGTTTTGCAGGTCTAATAGGCCCCATTACCTGCAGCTGTAGAGGGAAGAAACTTCAGGCAATGATTCCGCGGGAACCAAGGCCAGCGGAACGCTGAACCAACAGACCGAGGACACTCGGCCACACAACCACAAGGTGATGAGGAAGAGACAAAGCCAACCACCAAATTCGAAGGGCAAACTGGGTAATTCCAGCAAGAGGTGGTCACGACCACCGAGTCAAAAACCCCACTGACTCAAAAGGAGGAGAAAACTGAGCACGTGGCCTAATTAGCAGGAGAAGCGAGAGGATCGTTGAGCCAATAGAAAATAAAATACTAACTTATGAGGAACCACAGAACTTGTAGCCCATGAGCATTTAATGCCTCGCCAGCAGACCCACGGCCCCGGCCTCTCCCAGCACAGCAGAGAGGAGGGGGCCCAGGAAATAAAGGCTGTGACCCTCACATGAAGTGGGGTCTGTGAGGGGGCGTCTGCTGGGGGTAGAGATCCGATATGGAGGGAAGAAAGGGGGTGTAGAGGGGATGGAGGCAGGGGATCTTCTGAGGTGAAGGTTGGGGGGGTGAGGTGTGCAGGTAATGAGGGTGGGGGATGATGAAGATGGGGGTCTCCAGTGCATGAGGTGATGAAAGCAGCAGTGTCTGGAGTACGGGATGGTGAATGTGGGGGTCTCTGCAGCCCTGGGGAATAAAGGTGGGGGTCTCTGCTGTACGGGGTGATGAAGGTGGTGGTATCCAGAGTACAGGCAGATGAAGGAGGGCATCTCCAGAGCATGAGAAGTGAAGGTGGGTGTCTCTGCTGTCCCGGGGGATGGAGGTGGGGGTCTCCACTCTATGAAGTAATGAAGGCAGGGGTCTCTGCTGTCCAGAGGGATGCAGGCGGTGGTCTCGGGACGAGGAGGGCAGGGGTCCCACACGCAGCATCACCACCGGTGTCTCCGTTACGGCACTCCCACGCATCACCAGCCACTCCAGACGCGCACAGAACCCACCCCCTCCCCGCCCCGGGCTGGGCGGTGCCGGCAGAGCGGAACGGGGGGAACGGGGCCGGGCGGGAAGTTCCGCCCCTGGGGCCGAGCCGGGCGGGGTTGGTGGCGGTGCCGGTGCCGGTGCCGGGGCCATGCGCGGCGGGAGCCGGCGGGGGCGGCCGCGGCGGGGCATCGCGGGGCCGCCGGCCCGGGGGGGCCACGGGGGCGATGGGGCCTCGGCTGCTCCTGACCGCGGGGATGCTCCTCGCCGCCAGCACCGGGGGCAGCGGGAGCGCCGCAGGTGAGCGGGGAACGAGGGTCCGGGGGTGGGGGGGTCGGTCGAGACCACTCCTCGCCCCCCCTCCGTCGGGGCATCGCAGGGATACCCGCGGGGAGCCGCCGGCCGGGATGGGATCGGAGGGTCGTAGCCCCTCTGGCAGCTCGGTGCCCCCTTCCCTGGCACTCTCGGTGACCGCCCCCGAGGACGCTCGGTGCTGCCCGGGAGACGCTCGGTGTGTCCTCCCAGGGATGCTCGGTGTGTCCTCCTGGGGCTGCTCGGTGTCCCCCCTCCCCAGGACGCTCGGTGTGCCCCCCTGGGGATGCTCGGTGTCTCCCCCCGGGGTGCTCCGTGCCCCCCACTCCGGGGACGCTCGGTGTGTCCCCCGCGGAAGGCTCGGTGCGTCCTCCCGGGGATTCTCGTTGTCCCTCCCCCCCCGGAACACTCGGTGTGTCCTCCCGGGGTCCTCGGTGCCCCAGTTCTCCAGCCGTGGGGACCCGACTGTCCCCGGGCTTGGTGGGGCCTTGGGGAGTGGGGTCTGTGTACCCCCCTAACCCTCCTCCGGCATCCCCGGGCCCCGGGAGGGAAGGGGTCCCCCCGAGACCTGGCGAGGGGGGGGCTCTGAGTCAGCCGGGCCGGGCTCCCAGCCCTGCCCAGTCCCTCCGCTGGTTGTACTGGGCAGCTGGCCGAGGTGACGCAAGGCCTGGCCAGGGAGCCCATTCCGTCCCAAAATCGGAGGGGTCTCCCCTGGCTCTGTGGGGAGGGGGTGTATTGGCTGCTGTGGGGTGAGTGTGGGGGTCCCTGTTCCTGCTCCCCTGCCCTGGTGGGCTGCAGTGGGTGATCGTGGGGGTCTGAGATGCAGTGGGTGACCGTGGGGGTCTGGGATGTGATGGGCCACCGGGAGGTCTGAGCCGCGGTGGGTGACACAGCGGTGTCACAGAGGTGACACAGTGGCCCTGGGCCCTGCGCAGGTGACAGCTTGTGGCAGCACAGTGCAGAACCAGGACACTACTGGGCCGTGACCCCGTGGGTCCTGCGGGGCAACCAAAAGCTCAGCTTGGCAGAGGCGACCCAGGTGAGCCCCCACCAACATCCCTGGGGTCCCTTATGCTTGTGACAGCGTGTGGGGGGGGCTGCCTGTCCCCCAACTCCTCCCCCTGTCCCCTTTTCAGTGCAGGACACGCTGTCCTGGTGCCACGTCCCTAGCTGTGCCAGCACCCAGAACCCCAGGGGCAGTGGGGATGGGGGCATCCCAGCAAATCCCCCTCACCCTCCTGATGCTGGGAGGGCCATTTTTGGGTCGGGGTACCCACCCTGAGCCCCTCCCAGCTGGGGAGGAAGGGCCCATCCCACCCCGTGGCCGTTGGGAGTCTCTCCGACGCTTCCGCTGCGCTGCACCGGGCAGGAAGCGCGGGGGGACGGGGTGGGGGCCCCGCTCCGTCCAACCCCCCCTTCCCCAGCACAATGAGCCTGGGAGGGAGGGACATTTCCTGCAGGGAGCGAGGGTGGGGGCCGGGCTGGGCAGGGGATCCCTTCCGACCTCTCCCTCCGGGCACGTGCCAGGGCCAGGCGGGTCCCCCGACGCCCCACGGGGGTCACGGTGCTTCTGATGGTGTGTGGGGATGGGGGGAACACGCAGCTTGGGGCAGGGGGTATCCCCCCTAACTATGGCCTGTGGCAGGAGGGGTTCCCCACCCAGCTGAGGGTCCTGCTGGAGCTGGAGGGGACGAGGCTGGTGCTGGAGCTGGAGCAAAACTGGTGAGTGTGCGGCTCTGGGGCAGAGCAGGGATGGGAGTGGGAAAGGGGTCCCAGACCCATGCAGGGTGGGGGGGTCCCTTATTCCTTGTCTCCATCCATGGCACGGGTGGATTGGGGGTCCCAGGGTGCACCTGCTGCAGGATGAGAGGTACTGGGACCCCCAGTGTGTGCTCAGGGCGGGGTGAGCTGGGGGTCCCTGCTACGGGGTGACACAAGTCTCTGGCAGGGATCTGGTGCAGGCCACAGGGGCACTGCTCTACTACCTGCCCAACGGCACGTGGGTGATGGAGAAGCCCAGTGAGGAGGTATGGCTGGGGCGTGGTGGTCTCCTGAGGTGTTCCCGAGCTGTCCCCATGCCCCAGGGGGACCCCAGCTTGGGGCTGGATTCTGAGCCCCCCCTCTCTGCTGCAGGACAACTGCTGCTACCAGGGGACAGTGCAGGGCTTCCCCGACTCCTGGGCCAACCTCTGTGCCTGTGCAGGACTCAGGTGAGCCCCCGAGTGCGGTGGTCTGTGAGCCCACTCCCAGTGTGCTGCTGGTGGAGCAGGCTCCACCTCTTAGCTCCTCTCCCCTTCTCCAGTGGCCACCTGCAGCTGTCAGAGACCAGGAGCTACGAGCTGGAGCCAGACAGCGGCCCCACAGAGCAACACGTGGCCTTCCATCCCTGGGTGGCTCGGGTGGCACCACGGGCCTGCGGGCAGGATCCCCTGGACCCCCACCCCGGGGCAGAGGTGACAGAGACCTCCAGGCCACAGAGGGTAGGTCGCTGGTGGGGGGGAGGTCTTGCCCCATGGGGAGAGTCCCTGTATCAGCACTCTGACCCCACTCTGTCCCCAGGGCAAGCGGGCAGCAGCGGAGCAGCGGTTCGTGGAGCTGGTGATGGTAGTGGACCACGCTGCGGTGAGTGCTGGGCAGTGTGCCCAGAACAAGGGCTGTCCCCTCCCCAGCCACCCCCTTGACCCCCTGTCCCTGTCGCCCTCAGTTCCAGAATTACCCCAGCCTCCAACGTGTTCGCTCCCGGACCCTGGAAATCGCCAACCAGGTGGACGCGGTGAGTCCCCCTTGGGTCTGTCCATCCCAGCCCGGTGCCCGCTGCAATGCCAGGGGTCTCTGACCCCTCTGTGCCCCCCCCTCCCAGTTCTTCCGGCCGCTGGGAGTGCGGGTGGCCCTGCTGGCAGTGGAGGTCTGGAGCGAGGGTGACAGGATCCCGGTGGGCAGCAGCGCCCGGGCGGCGCTGGAGCGGTTCCTGCGCTGGCGCCGGGAGGAGCTGCTGCCCCGGCTGCCCCACGACAACGCTCAGCTCCTGACGTGAGTGGGGGACAGGATGGGGACAAGGGGGGTGAGGCCGTGGCAGCCCCTCGACCCCCTGTGCTCTCTCCCCCAGGGGTGCCCGCTTTGACGATGTCGCGGTGGGCATGTCGACTCAAGGCTCCATGTGTTCCCCCACGCGCTCCGGGGGGGTCAGCATGGTCAGTACCCCCTTCCCCCTACCCCGTGTTCCCACCACCTGCCCTCCAAGACACCCCCCACCTCGTCCCCACAGGACCACTCGGTCAGCGTCCTGGTCGTCGCCTCCACCGTGGCCCACCAGCTGGGGCACAACCTGGGCATGCGCCACGACAGCCCCGGGCGCTTCTGTGACTGCAGCGACCTCCGGCACGACCGCGGCTGCATCATGGCATCGCCCACAGGGTGAGGGCAGCGGGCAGTGCTGCAGGGGGGCCGGGGCCGAGCCCCCTCCCCGCCTCACCGCCCCCTTCACGGCCCTGCAGGCTGACACCCGGCTTGAGCTTCAGCAACTGCAGCCGGCAGGACCTGGAGCGCAGCCTGCAGCGGGGCCAGGGCTGGTGCCTGTCCAACGTGCCCGAGCCCCAGCTCCTGGCTGGGAGCCCCACCTGTGGGAACTTCTTCCTGGAGTCGGGCGAGAGCTGTGACTGCGGCCTCAGTGTGGTACGGGCCGGGCTCCGGGCGGGATGGGGTCCCCCTGTGCCCCAGGGTGTGCAGGGCTGGCAGGGTGACTTCCAGTGTGCCAGTGCCACCCTCTGCTGCAGGAGTGCACGGATCACTGCTGCAACAGCAGCTCCTGCGAGCTGATGCCGGGGGCCGTATGTGCCAGCGGGGACGCCTGCTGCCAGGACTGCCAGGTGCGTGGGGACGGGCACCCCCAGTGGGCGAGTCCCCCGCTCGCTTTGGGGGGGCTTCCCTTTTTGACTGTGCCCCTCATGCCCCCCTCAGCTGCGCCACGCTGGGCACCTGTGCCGGGAGCCGCGGGGGGAGTGTGACCTGCCCGAGTTCTGCGACGGGGTCTCGCCGCACTGCCCACCCGACACGTTCCTGCAGGATGGGCAGCCCTGCGCCGGCGGGTGGGCGCGCTGCTACGGCGGGGCCTGTGCCACCTACGAGGGGCAGTGCCAGCAGCTGCTGGGGACAGGTATGGCGTGGGCCAGGGTCGGGGAGGGGGTCCAGGGGCCGGGTGGGGGTGCTGAGGTTCGTTGTCCCCCCACTGCAGGCGCCAGCCCTGTGCCCAGCTCCTGCATGGCCACCCTGAACGCCAGAGGGGATGAACGTGGGCACTGCGGGCAGCTCCCCAACGGCTCCTACATCGCCTGCGCCCAGCAGTGAGTGATGTCCCCATCCTTTGCCACCTCCCCCTTGCCACTCCCCCCTGGCCTGACCCCTCTGTCCCCACAGGGATGCTGGCTGTGGGATGCTGCAGTGCCAGCGCGGCAGCACCCGTGGGGACAGACCAGGAGGGTCCTGCCAGGGGACCCCCCTGCCTGGGGACGAGGATGTGAGTGATGCAGCCATGGTGCTGCCCGGCACTGCCTGTGGCCCTGGGAAGGTGAGTGCCAGGGCAGCAGGGAAGGGGCTGGGGGGGTCTTCAAATGCTGATCCCCCCTCCCCTGCAGATGTGCCTCCAGCACCGGTGCCAGGATGTCTCCGTGCTTGGCGACCAACAGTGCCAGAGCAAGTGCCACGGGCATGGAGTGAGTGCAGGGCCGGGGAGCGGGTGGTGGAGGTGGGGACCTGCCCTGCATGGGGGCTGAGCTGGGCCGGTGTCACCCCTCCCAGGTGTGCAACAACCACGGGCACTGCCACTGCGAGCGGGGCTGGGCCCCCCCGACCTGCGAGAGCCCCGGCACGGGGGGCAGCCAGGACAGCGGCCCCGCCGGCCTCGAGCGAGGTGAGGGACGAGGAGAATGGGGCTTTGTGCCGGGCGTGGGGGGGGGAGTGACGGGCCATGGCGGGGGCTGACGTGCCACTGTGCCACTCTCCACAGGAGGCAGCGCCCTGCCCACAGCCCTGCTGGTGAGCGCCCTGCTGGGGCTGGCGCTGGCACTGGGGCTCTGCTGCGCCCGCCGCGCCGGCCTGCACAAGCACCTCTGCCAGCTCGGCAAGGGCACCTCCTGCCAGTACAGGTACCGGGGACGGAGGGACAGCAGGGGGGGGATGTGGAGGACACAGGGTGTGTTGGCACACACGCCTCCGCATGCGTGTGCCGAGGCACGCGGGTGGCGCGTGGATGGCATGCTCACCTCTGAGCGCATGTGCTGTGGCACGCAGGCAGCACGGATGGCACGCTCACCTTTGCACGCGTGTGCTGTGGCACGCAGGCAGCACACACACCTCTGCATGTATGTGCTGTGGCACACACACAGCTCTGCATGTATGTGCTGTGGCACACACACAGCTCTGCATGTCTGCGCTGTGGCGCACACGCCTCTCTCTGCACGTGTGTTGCGGCACACGTGCCCCTGCACGCGTGTGCCACGCCGGTGCCACGCTCGCCTCTGCACGCCATGGCAGGCACCAGAGCCCCCTGCATGCGGGCATGCACGCGTGTAGCGTGTCAGCGGGGCGTGTGCATGTGCGGCACACACGTGTGCATCCCCTAGGGCGGCCGACCAAGCGGTGCGCACGCGTGTCCCCCGCACGCGTGACAGTCCGTGTGTGTGTTTGTGTGTGCGTCCCCAGCACAGGTCACAGCCCCGTCGTGCATCGTCACCCCACGTCCCCTCCTGCCGCTGCCCCCCCTTGGCCCCCCAGCCTTTGGGCTGAGCCCCCCACTCTTCTCCCCACAGTGCTGAGACCCGGGTGCGGTTCCTGGGTCCCGGAGCCGCCGACGGCTGGAGCGGGTAACGTCACCGCCGGCGCCCGGGCGTGGGGCTGTCCCCGAGCTGTCCTGCTTCGCAAGGCCTCCGGTGCTGCGCTCTTCCCCTGGCAGTGCCCGCAGGGGGTGTGGGGCAGCCCCCCCAGGGGCACGGGCGGGTGTCTCCTCTTCCAGCGCCGAGGGGTTCGTTTCTCTTGGGCTTCTGCTGGTGTTTCGGTGTGGCTCGCTCGCCGTGCGGGGTCCCCCGCGAGTGCCCGGAGCGAGCGGGGTCTCATCCTGCCTCTTCCCTCGCAGGATCTCGCAGCCAGAGCCCCCATCGAGCAGCCAGGGCCCCCCAGCGCGCCCCCGGCCCCCGCAGTGGCGCCAGGCCACGGAGCTGCAGGTCATGCGTGGCAGCAAGGTGAGGATGGGGGGGCGATGGAGGGCGGGGGGTTCGCTCCGCTCCTTGGGGTCCCACATGCCCAGGCCGCCTGGTCCCCGCTCTGTGGCACCAGGAGCAGCCTGGCACGGCCACTTGGCACCGGCCGCTTGCCGGGACCGGTGCCCATCCCGTGGCGGGGCTGAGCCCCGGAGCTGAGGGCTGAGGGGGGGGTCTCTGTCTCTGCTTGGCGGCGGGAGGGGGGTCTCCGCATGCTGCATGGCTTGCCCCCGCTCTCCCTCTCTCCGCAGCCGGCTGCCCTCGGCTCGGCCCGG